TCAAATTCCACTATAAATTAAACTTTTAGAGATATTAACGAACATTTTTTCAAAGCCAAGTTTCTGAACAACTGTTGCTGAAGTTGTGCAGAGAGCAACAGTATGCACTCGCCATCTTAGTCTGTTAGCTGAACCATCTGGAGAAAGCTGGGTAGCTCTTGAGGAGGGCCAGAAAGGAGTCAAACTGCAAGAGGGTTTGAGTGAAGACCCAAAGACTGAGAAACATTAGCAGCACGATTGCAGGACACAAAATGTTGAATTTGTCTATGTTGCAGTGCTTCTGCTTTATTTTAAGGTTTCTGAGGCTAGACCTTGTAGAGAAGTCACACAAGTGACTGTTCAGTGGCACCTCTGCAATATTTATCTAAATGTAATAATTTTCTTAAGCCAGTACAGGTTTTGATTCAATTTGACATTGAGCTGACATACATGGGAATTTACACTTAAAGGAGAAGAAGGTCTGAGCTTGGCAAGAGAAGGGTGTGTGTCTGGGCACAAGTAGTATTTTGGGCATAAATGTATGGAGTCTGAAGCTGCACCAAGTGCTGGGTGTTCATGTGTTTGTCCTCCACCTCAGAAAACCTGTGTTTCTTTGAAAATACGTCCTCAGGTAGAAGGAATAGGCTATGTTGGTACGGAGTGAATTGTGAAGGAGGGAGTGGCCTGTTTGTGTAGTGAGTGAGCGTGGGCTCTGGGGTACACTTTCCCATAGACTACACCACTGATCAGTGTGACTGGATTATTTGTATGATACAAAAAATCAGTAACCAAAACCTTTATATTACGATCCTCTTTTTGTTCTTTTTTTAAACGAGAACCATCTTAAACTGTGTGTGCTCTCATGGATGTTTGTATTTAAAACCTAAATGCACTTTGTCATTGGGTTTTAACAAATGATTCTGGAAGGATAACGCAGAATCTCTTGAACTTTAACTCTGCGCTTGTTTGTGTTAATAGAACTTGTCATCTTGGACAGTTGATAGCAAAAGGTTGTAGAAAATGCTGATGCCATTTTAAGTTCAAAGTATACTTTGTTATGATTATGGCATTGAGAACCTTTTTTTTTTTTTTTTTTTTATAGATTGAATTAGAACCTGTAAAGCTTTTGTCTACAGAAGACCACCTGGAGCACAGCCTAGCTATTGAGAGAAGAAGAATCCGACTGGGCTATGAACAGGTCTTTCAGAACCTAATGCAGGAGACTAATAAGGAAGGTGATTACTATGTTCAGCGCAGAAGATGCAACGGTTGACATGGGCAGCTGAAAGGGATGAAAAAGGCAGACAAAACATCTGAGTAGAGATCCTTGAGGTTGTGGTTTCATGTAGAAAGGCATGTGCCAGATTGGTGAGGGTGGCTAAGACAGTTAGTGTAATACAGTGGTATTTCTTTGTCATTCATAAATTCCAGATTGCAGGATTGAAGGTCAAGCATGCCTTAAACAAATGTGAAATGCAGATCTTCATGTAGGTTGTATTTGTAAGGTTTAACAGTTCACACAGAACTTTGCAGTATGGTAATAAAGTCCTATGACACTAGTTGTAATGTAGATAGAAGAGTATTCACTCAGGCTTATGGCTGTGTCTTTGCAAGAAAGCACTAAGAACTATGTTTATGCCGTGAGCAACACATGCCCAACAAGCAGGAGAAACTTCAGGTCAAAACAGGTAAAAAACATTTTCAGCTCCTCATTACCAAATTAGAAAAATTGAGCCAAGAAACAGATTAGTCTTTATTTCTGATAGTAATCTCTGTTCTTAAAGACAGTTGTGCTCAAAAGTTACTGTGTTCCCCTGCAAAAGAAATCATTCATAGCAGTTAAGAAATATGCTGGTATTTGAAAAATCTGAGCCAGAACTCCATGTACAAACAACAGACATCATGTGGTTTTATTGAGGAAAGATGAAACTTGTTGTAAATATGAGTTCTACTCTTAACAATTTGATAAGACTGTGTAGAACTGAAGAGATTTGCTTGGTACAATCAAACACGTTAACTTGTCTTTGTAGTAACTGTCTCACAGGACACAGCTTAATACCATGAAAGACAAATCAGAGGCTGATGATTCTGGTTTCCACTGCCTTGCCTGGAAACTTCCTCAAAGGGTCTTATAACTGTTAGCCCTAGTTCACCTCCTTAAGGAGACAGACCAAGAAAAATAGGGGAAAGGAGAAGAAAATATTGCGTGTAAAGGCTGCCAGGTAGCAAAATAGGTGTAAATCTTATCCAGAAAGTGAAGTTTGTCTTCTGAGTGGATCTAATGCAACAACTTAATTAGGTACAAAGTGCAAATTAGTCACATGTGTGCACACATTTATATAATCATAAAGTTAGTTAATTATGGCAAAAGTCAAAAGTACAATTCAGGTCAAGTACAATTCAGGTCAAGTAGCTTCTAGCACAGATATGCACTTTTAAAATGACTAACATAATCTTATGCCTAGATCTGTTCTTACAAAATACAACTGAAAAAACAAAGGTTAGAGTGAGGATGTATGGCTAAACATTTGGAATTGGAAATGCTTAGATCATGGAAGGTGGTTGCTGATTCAGATTTCTCTCTATCATGTTCTATATTGTCTCTGGTAATCACAAGATTTGTAACAGGTTATGAAATAATCATGTCGTACTCTAACCGTAATTAGACACATTTGCACAGGTGCCCATCATACATGGTGGTCAAAGTCTATGAAAGGCATTTGAATAAAACTACTCTGACAACATCTGTTAGAGGTCATGCATAGAAACCTTGAATAATCACAAGCACATGCTGAGGCTGTTGGCTGCCTGCATTCACAGCTAGCCAACTTTCACAATAACTGCTTCTGACACAGCTTCTTTGAAGGATATAGTGAGGGCTGGGAAGGTTCACTGTGCTGTGATGCACCATCCCCCACCTCTTATGTCTCTTGGAAGAACAGAGCAAATCTTCAGCCTCTTGCTTCCCTTGCAAAGAACAGAGATCTTCTGTGTCTTTCTTTTCTTCTTGGCTGTCAGAGTTAGTAGCTGAAATAATTCCTTAATACATTGCTGCTGTATTTCAGGTACTTTTGAAGAGGAAGATGCAGTTTCAACTGACCTTACTCATGTACGGAGTATTGAGCTTGTCCAGCCTCCTCATGCAAACCATCATGGAAACACTTTTGGTGGCCAGATCATGGCTTGGATGGAGACAGTGGCAAGTATTTCAGCAAGGTACTTTTCTACATCGTCATCTTTCCGTATGGCTCTAAGTGGATGTGATTTTAATAGAAGGGGTTTCACAGGGATTTATTTTATGAAAAATACAGACCCAAACCTTTGTGATTTCTCTTCCTCCTCACATTGCAGGAGTCCTTTGAACTATTTATGTGGTACAGTTCCCACAGCATGCCACACCACTGTGGGAGTCAAATATTATTCCTCTTCTGTTACACCCACAGACTCTAAGGCAAAAAAGGGTATGTTATCCTTCTGAGAATCTCTGCAGAAAGTCAGCATGGGACATATGAATAGAAACTTGGCCTCCTTGTGGTTGGTGCAGTGTTTTAAAAGCAGAGTTAGTTGTTAGGTCAGGATAACACCAACACCAATGCTGTATCGATTGATATCCAAAAATGAACAGCCTTCTAAATGTTAGTCTGCAGATCCTTACGCCAGAAGAAAGAATAAGACAGAGAAGAAGAAGCAAAAGAAACAGATTCTGTTTTGTTGGTGCACACACAGAATGGATGCACAACCTTCAGCAAGTCACTTAACCTTTCAGTCTCTCTGAGTCCCGTATCCTGTGGGTTTTAATATTTTTAGCAGTTTAAAGGGCTCTGACGTCTTCAGGTAGTAAGTGTGAAGTATTTTTGTGACACCATCTAGTGTTTGTCAGTATGGCCTAGACATATAATAATTTAATTTCTCTTCCCCTGAAACCAAACCATTGTTTTTCTCCCTCCTTGTTCTTGGACGCTGTATAAAGCTTCTTTGTAAGCAACACTTCAGTTTCAGTTTGAATTCTCCTTGCATACCAAGTGACCTAATTCACTGCAGGGTTGTTAGATATGTTTTTGCTTTTTAACTTTAATAATTAAAGGACTTCCCCATTCATTATTCATATAGTTTTGATTTGTAGCCAGTAGTTGTACTGATAACAACAGATTTTCTGTAGTGGTTGGATAAACAGCTTGTTTTATTAACATTAGAGTGCACTGACCTTACCCCAGTGTGTAATTTCTTTGGCTTCAAAGGGATTGTTTCAGATTTTTGCCATAATATGACCCAAAATATTTACCTGTTTTCATTTGATAAATTTTACTTAGTGAGAGTCACATTTAGGTTTAAGAAGAGAAGGAAAACATCAACAAACCAAGTACTGAAAAAAATTTCTTTGAACTAATGAAAGTCAAACATGTTTTGTCACGTTGAAAATTTCAGGAATAATAGCTGGTGACAGAGGCCTGTCGAAAATTTGTAGTTTATGCTTGAGAAATAGCTAGTCTTGCTACAAACCTTTTGTGAGGCCACTCACAATTAGACCTGACCTTTGAAGGTGCCAGTTCAGAGTTGCTATGGCCACAAACTCTGATGGAAGAAAGGAAGAGGAGCACTAACCTTCGACGAATAAATTTCTAAAGCCATTTTAAAAGTTACTCACCCTCCTCCCCTCTCTCCCCCACCTCCACTTTTTTGGCTGGACAGTACATTAAAATCTTGCAGATAGCAACAAAGCTATTTGAATATTAGTAATATTAGTTTGAAATGGATCTGTACTTCCTTATTTCTTACACTTGCAGTAAAAACATTCAGGGCATAGTTTTCCAGGAAAAATTGAATATATAGGTCAAATTTCTGTTTTTTTCCTCTCTTATTTTCCATAATACTGTGTTTGCATCTTTATAGTGATCATTGTAAATAAGATCACCACTTAGCATTTTAAATCAGAAGAGCAGTTTATTCTTAATGAAATTACAAAGTCATTTGAATGTATTAGTCTACTAAAAAGATGTACCAGTCAATTAATTAGCTACAGATAATTGTGTACATTTAACAATACTGGTACATTTGTTTGCAGAGTGCAGTTGAGTTGAAAGCTAGGAATGCCACAAAGCTGTATTTTCAAGTTTAGAAGCTGCATGCTGAAAAATCCATTCTCAGATGTGCATATGGGAGTTGTACTGAGGAGTTTTGCAGACATTCATGAGGACAGAGCCTGTTTTTTCAAAGTCTAAAAATAAATGGCATTATTGTATATTGTTCCCTATTCATGTGATGCACAGAGATCCTAGTAAAGAGTGGGGCTTTGACTGCATTTAGAAGAAATGCTGAAGAAACCTAATTTGTGCCCACTCCAGAGAGCTTGCAAACTAGATCCCAATTCCACACACACCCTTAAGCTGTGTCTATAGTGCAGATTTTTTTCTGGAACATCTGAGAAGGTCAGAGAAGTGATGAGTTGTTGGAATTGCCTAGTGTAGATGACACAGTATAGCAAAACATTTTCCTTAGCAGTGTAGCTGGGTTTGATCAGGTGTGTGTATCTGTTTGTCCATTGCACCAGTCCAAAGAGCAGCTTTGCTAGTACGCAAAAGTATGGAATTCATGGAAATTTAATGGAAAAGGTGTACTCTCCTGGCACAGACAATCTTCTGTACTAGACCGGCAAAGTTTTACCAGAGTGGCTGCACCCTATTTCACAGCCAGTTCAGAGATCCAGCAGGACAACCCAGCTGAACCTGACCACGTTATTGAATGCAGTACAGGATCAGGTCTGAAATTAGAAAAGACAGGTGAGCAGAAGCACTCCTGGAAGGACAAAAGGAACAGAATTACTAAAACTTGTGTGTTTGTAATACACTATTGTGCTTTCAGCTTTTGAAATTAAGCTAACAGTTCTGTTTTTATGAATTGATCAGTGGTCAGTTCAACATCTTTCTGTCCCTTTGTATGTGCAACTGTGAGTTTCCCAGCTCAGCAACAGTAACAAACTGCACATAATTTAGTAAATCAGACCAAATTAAAACAAAAAACAAAAACCAAAACCAACGATGTATTTGGCAGTTATATGAGTAGGTTTTTATTCTTATTTCAGGTAACACTAGCAGAAAACATCTGACAAACAAGCAAAAAAGTACAAGTATTAAAAAGAATAGCTAGACTGACATTGCTTTGCTTGAACACCTTTTCTGGTGCTCAGCCTTTTTGCTCAGGTTTCTTTTAATCATTTAAAGGCTTTGTGATCTGTCATTTTTACGTACTGAGCAATATCCTACTCCCTGTGCAGTCATATAGAAATTAGTGAAACTCTGTGAAGTAAGTGGTTACTCTGTATGTAAGAGATTCATGATCTGGATCCAAAGAAGGTAATATCAAGCAGCAAGAATTTATTAGTCAGTGTTTGTAAAGTGTGTTGAAAATGAAACAACAATGTTAATTGTATTTCAGTGGATTATGGAATAAATCAGTGTAATATAGTGATCTTCTAGGCTGGGCAAACTTTGTTGCTCTAATCACTCGCCACTTCAAACCTGACAGAGGAGGTTCTTTAACACAACTGTGTGTTTTACTCTCTCTCTCTCTCACTTCCTTTTTCAGCCGACTTTGTCGTTCATATCCCATCTTGAAATCAGTCAATATGTTTAAATTCTGGGGACCATCCATCGTCGGTGACCGCCTTGTCTTCAATGCAATTGTCAACAATACATTTCAGAAAAGGTAAAACTTCTCCTCTTGAAGTTTCAATTCCTTGACTTCTTCAGTGCCAGCCTACCTGCATGTTTCAGGTTTCAGCTAGCAGGAGGATTTGCATCATTGAATTAATTATTTTTCAGCTGGAGCTTTGAGGGATTTATCTATATCTATAACTATCTGTCTATATATGCTTTTTTTTTTTACTTTTCTCAGTGAAAGTTTTTTAAAATCTATTCTCTGACTTTCACTCTCAATTTAAAGATAATTTGTAATCAAATCCCAGTCCCACAAACTCATATATCACTCTGAACTTCAGGGATTTTCAAGGGATGAGTTGGTACCACAGCTTTGATTCTTCAGAAGACTCCAGCTTGCTGCCAGGATCTTCCTGACTTGGCATCTATTGACAGATCTGGGTTTTGTTTATTGCTGGCTACTGGTAAAATTCATGCTTTGTTTTTTTTATTTCTTCCCAGTGTTGGTTTGGGTGTACACAGAGGTGAGGCTTTGCCAGTTGCAGTTTGGAATAAGTGGCTACAGCTCATGCTGAAATTTTATCTTTGGTTGAGTTTATGGTCACTGTAAGCATGAAACATAGATTTTGTCACACTGAACACCTGCTCCTGGAATTTAGTGGTGTGGCTGTTGACCAGTCTTGCACAGATCCTGCCTGCTAATGGTTGCTCTCTCTTTCTCTTTCCTATGCGCGTGCTATCTCCTCTGCTGTTTTAGGGCTGCTGTTGTGTTTGCCTCACAGAGAATGACTCTCCCCGAGCTTTGGCAGAGGGATGGCACCTCTATGCTGGGCTATTTCCCCATCTACAGGATTGGCACTTTGGGCCAGCAAACCCTCTGGTTATGTCAGGGGTGTGACACCACTTATGTGGAGCCCTGTTCCAGCTGGAGGACATGTTCAGAAGTTGTAAGAGGTGTAGCAAGACAAGCTGCAAGTAGGCAGAAGCTAAAGTAATGACTCTTCCGTATTCTGTACGCAGGACAAATGCTATCCTGACATTGCTGTACTGTGGCTGTTTTCTTTGTAGGTGTATTTTGTCCCTGCAGAACACTAGCAGGGCATGAATTGCTATACTTCTGCTGAATGTCAAATCAATACCATCCTGTTCACTTTTGCTGTCTGTTCTAACAGTGTGCTGACTGATGTTCATATCTGGCTACTTTTGCTCTTTTTATTAATGCTATTTAGGTAGTGCCACCTTTTAATTTATTTCTGAAATGTGTCTGTCCAGACTGAGGAATTTATTTTGTATGTTACAGAAAGTATTTGAGTCAGGCTTCCTGCACGCAGGAAGGTGTACAGCAGCCCTTTTTAGTATGTCCCAGGGTTGCTTCTGCATCACTGGTAGTAGTTCAATAATTAATTTAAACTTTTATTTCAGTGTGGAGGTTGGTGTCCGTGTTGAGGCTTATAACTGTGAAGAATGGATCAAGGACCAAGCACGGCATATTAACAGCGCATTTCTCATTTTTAATGCTGTAAATGACAAAGGAGAGCTGCTCACCTTCCCCAGAATCAAACCTACTACAAAGGTCAGCTCTCATCCTCAGGAGTAGGATGAATGCCTACATGAGATTATGTGGTCCATCACAGCACACTGCATGTCACATAACCAGCCACTATATCCTTGCTGGGAAAGCCGGGACTAAACAGGGCACTGAAACATATCTTCTTGCAGAAGAGAAAACCTCTGAATGAAATGTTTGCCTTTGAGTGAGGGATTTGTCATTGTTAACTTCAGTCATCTAGAACTGAGAGGTGTAGTGGAGGGTAATAATCATTAGAAATTACGTAGTCGGTGGATGGACAGGGAAGAAGAATATGCTTTTTGCTGATTTTTGCACCTGTCTATATCTGTCTTGTGCAGTTGCCACTGACTATAGATGAAAATCCTAAGTGTTCAGTGAATAAAGTTATTTTTATAAACCCTTAATAAAGATGAGAAATAGAGTTCATAAAGTAGTCTGTAGGAATCAAATCCCATGACACAGGTGTGCTTTCCAGTTTCCTTGCTGTGGAGATCTCAGCATGTGTTTCCCTGCAAGTGGTTCATCAAGCACTTGGAGCAGCTTGAATACTATTGTTGTGTTATTTGCTGTGATGTCACCTGTAACTAACCTTACTGCTCAAACTATGAGATTTTTAGAGAGCCAGCATAGACAGAAATGACACAATTATTTAAAATCAATGAACTTATATTGTATAGGATGGCAACTGAACAAATAAATTAAGGTGTCCTACATACTAGCTGAGACAGTGCTGTTCACTACTGCCCATTACAGGTTGTTCCAAGAGTAAAAACTCACTCTTCCTATTAAAAAAAAGCCATAGCAGTTTAGCTTCTGTCAGAAAAACAGTTCTTCCCTTAAAGACCTGCCTAGAGGGGCACCCACAAGCTAAGCATCAAAATAAGAACATGTACACCCATTCCTTCAGAGTAAATCAAACAAATCTGGGAAAATTAGTATGTGCTCAAGGTAGTTTAAACTTTCAGTGGTCGTTTGAAACAGCTGATAGAGCAGTGCTCTACAAAACAGGCAAGAGATGTCTTCAAAAAATCTTATGTAGCCCTTGGTTTTAAGAAGACCGAGGTGCACTAATCTGGAGATTCTTCTTATTCCAGAAGCTATGTGTCAGCTCTTAAAAGCTGAGGAAAAGAAGGTTTTCCAAAGTGGCATATCCTTCAGGATAGCAAGTCCTTTAATGCAGTTTGGTGTGGTGTATGCTCTTGGGTCATTTCTGTGCTTCAAAAAAAATCCATCCCGGCAGAGCAATAATAAGGGAAAGGAAAGACCTGCCACCTCGAAGGGCAGATCACATCTGTTTGCACAGTGCTTGCTGTGTCCCAGGTCCATGTGAACTGAAACAGGAATTCTTCCACGCTTCCTTCATGATTTTAACGTCAGATGATGATGAATTGGATTAATTGTTTGATGGGTGGCACATTTAGAAAGAGAAGAATGAGTGTGGTGCAGTGCCCAACTGCCACTGGTTTAGGACCAAAAAGTGCTGGGAGTATGCTACTATGATAAAACTTTTATACTGGATTGTTTTTACAAATTTAAAGGAATATTGTCAAGTCAGAGGTAAACCACTGACTCAGGTTAATTGGGGAAAGGCCAATATACAGAGTACAATTCTTATTAATTTCTAATACATCTCTGGCATTTGTCCATCTATAAGAAGTAATTATTAGTTGTCTTTTTTTAGACTGTGTCGTAAAATAATCAGATGTGTTGCTGTCTGGTTTACTTTTTATATAGGATGGTAACAGGCGATACCATGGAGCCATTGCCCGAAGGAGGATTCGACTAGCCAGGTATCGTTGGGTTATAAGGAGAACTTGGTTTTGAAAACTCGATTTTTTAATGTATCCTCTAAAAAAGTGATCATTTGTTAAATAGTCTAAGTCTTCTCAGACACAACCGTTATGTTGCTTAACTTTCTTAATAATTTCACCTGAGTTGCATTGACATTATTAGCAGCTACTTGTCTCAAAAATGCTTTGCCCTATAGGTGTTTTTCCCCATCTTTCCTGGGAAGAAAAAGGAGTTAATTGCAAACCTGTCTTGCAAATGAAAAATGGCAAAATACCTGTAAAGTATTTAGAAGACACTTAAGTCTATAGAAGTGATTGTTTCTAGCATATATAGAAGAAAGTGTAAAAGAACCAATTGAAGCTATTATTTTCCTTTTGAATTTTGTTTTAGGAAATGCATGCTGTCTGCTAAAGAAGACAAACCTTCTGATCCCTGGGAGAGAAGCAACCAGGTAATCTGTAGATAGTGTACTATTGTCTACTTGCATAAAATGTTGTATTTGTACACTTTTTGGGTGTACAGGCCATATCTGTTTCCAAAGTGGACCTTCTATACTTGAGTGTTATGATAGTCATGGAAGAATGGATAAATATGTAATAAGATGAATGTTTTTTTCTTCTGAAAAAAGAGAATGGATGCTACACTGTTGATTTAAGAGTAAGTTTCACACAAAACGTAAAAAATGTCTTTAAGATAGACTCTTGAACAAGTGATCTCTTAAGCAGCCAAGCTGTAAGGTGTCCTGCAGATTTATATCCCACTGTCCCCAGCTTTTAGAAAGCTCAGTTCTGTAGAGGAATTAGCTTGGGGTTGGTTTTTTTTCCCTTTATCCATCCACTGACTTTCTCAAAAGTCGCTGTAAGAAGATCATTTAGTAAATGCTAAAAGTGGTGGGAGAGACATGGCAATACCAACAGACAGGTGAACAGTGAAACAGCATAAACTTTGTTACTGTGGGAAAGAGAGTTGAAAAAATATGCTCATTCCTGGGTACTGGAATCCATTCCTGGCATCCAGTGACATGTTTTTCTGGCTTGGACATCCTAGGCCATAGAATGTGCTTATGTCATGAAATGAATAGCAATTAACATGAATTTAGATGGATTTGTGGACACCCTAAATGTTGTTTCAGTACTGAATTTTTGTGGTTACATTTTCATTGCATTTAAGATCTCAGTGGCTCCCAGAAATTTTATCAGGTCTTTTTCCATTACATGAAAAAATAAATAATTGAGAATTGTAATGCAGGAAGTTATTTTCTGTTAACAGTGGCATCTCCACTGTTTGGAGCAGCAAACAATAAATATAAATATGCACACAATGATAAAAGTGGCATACTTAAGATTTATTAAGTATTAAACTAAAACCTGTAATTAAAAGACTCTAAAGCTGAATTCTTTTTATAGAGTGGGTAAATGAGAACTCCATCCACTGTAGTCAAGCATAAATAATGGATACGTTCACACTTTCTCTGCTCGGAGCCTGCTGTGTAAAGCAGTTGCCAAGATAGACTACAGCTTGATAGCGACGAAGATGTTAATTTTCCAGTATATTTTAATTACTTAGGAAGAAGCTGGACAAAACCATTAATTTAGTGGTCTGAGAGGTTACCTGTATTATCTCTCCGGTGGTCGTAGTTTTTCTGCACTGCTTTATAATTGGAGAAGCCCAAAGTAGTATTTTGTTGTTGTTTAATTAGGGTTGTTTTGCCAACAGCCATGTGAAGACATAAGCTAGCTATTGAAAGTATTTAATTCAGAAACTACTGGACTGTGTTTTCTGGAAGGAAAACATTTACAGGAAAATACACATTTGTTTGCAATTGGGGGGTAATGATTGAAAAAAAGCATCTAATTTCTGGAATGTTTAGTGAAATGTACCTTTACCCTTCATTTTCAGAAATGTGTCTTACGTTTCAGGCATATGTGAGTTACAGCAACATAGCTGCACTGACACACCTTGCAGCAAAACCAGGATGGGAAATAACCAACACACTGGATGATGTAAGTGCATAATTATGGAACAGCTAAATAGCCACTGTAGTTATGTTTCAGCATAAGAGGTGGGTGGAGAAAACCAAGAGTTTTACATTTGTAAATAAATACATTGGCTTGGCAGTGTTTGGTTTTATTGTGACTAGGGTTGAAAGCTGAAGCTCACTGAGTGTCCCTGAAAGGTTGCAAAGCAACCTCTGGTTGTCCAGAGTGCTGTGCAACGTGGAAGTGCCATGGAGGATTTCTACCATGGTCTGAACGATGGGTGAACGTAGGACTTGGATACCAGAAGGGCAGGCTTACCACCAACTGATTAATTTTTACACAGGAGAGTGTAAAAACACAAACAAACCCACATCTCATTTCTGTGAGATGTTTTCTTGGCCACAACTGACATGCCTCTGTGGTTTTGCCAAATTGTTTGATTCCAGCAAAACACCAAACTTGGACATCTTTGTTTAGGCAGTGCTGTTGGCGATCTGTGTGGCTTCTCGTGTCACTGTGATAAGCAAAATGCGTGTGGCGGTCTGTAATACTCTGCCTTTACCAGCTTTGCAGCATGGGAGATGTTTCTAAGTAGTAGGCATTATCGTTTGACAGTTTCAAGTGGACACTGCCAGTCAGCAAGTGGCAGCAATTTATATACCATATTTTACAGTCTCCCTCTTCTCAGAACACCACTTGACTCTTTTTCTATGCACAATTTTCCTTCTGGATATCTTTCTTTCTGCCCTTTTTCTATTAAAAAATTACAAAAGCCTGAAAGCAAAGCACCTCCCTGTTCATCTATCAGTGTTGTAATCTCAAAATCAGTATGTAATCTTGTGTAAGCCAGTTTTAAGATGGGAAGATGCTGTTAAGAAAACCAGTAGCAAGATAATTTTGCTGGGAAGACTGTTTTAACCTAGTTGCAGTGCATGTTTTCTAAACTATCGAGAGACATCTGTTAAGGTTTGATTTCTGAAATACAGTTAGTGACTGGTAGATTATGTTAAAATCATGTAGATACAGAGATGTTTTGTGACAAGAAAAGGCTGTTACAATCTCTTTGTCTGACCTCCTGCATGTTGTAGGCTATGAAACTTCACTTATTGATTCTTGCACCTAGTCAATGAGCTACTTGAGTAAGAGCATATATAAATCATAAGGAATTCCAGTGACAGCAGATCTGCCAGTTCCATGTGTAGGTTGTTCCGGTGGTTAATAACTTTCAGTAAACACTGTTGTACCCGTTAAATGACAAGACAGCACTCATGCTGGAAAAAACAAGCTTGATCAGACTGAAACATTGTTATTTTCAAGCCTCTGCTAAGACTACATTATTATCCATGTGAAACTTCCTTTCTGCATGCCACAATCTCACTTTATTTCTTAACCCTAAAAGCACCCCAGCAGCAAATGTTGTGAAGAAATTAGTTCATACAAAAGAACAAAAGCCCATGCACATTCTGGATGACATTTTAAATGTTGTGAAGAAATTACTTCATACAAAAGAACAAAAGCCCATGCACATTCTGGATGACATTTTAAACAGCATGATGTTACTTCTCTCTCGGCAAGCTACCAGGTACCTTCCAGTATTACCGAAGTCTGGAACTTTCTCCTCTTTCTGGGGAGTCTTGACAGTAAGATCTGCCTCTAAGCCACTTAGACCTTATCTGGTGGAAAATCATGAGTGGAAAAATCAGCTTTTTCTATCTGTTCTTTTCATCTAATTGAAGTAGGTATCTGAAATCCAGCAAAATCTGGCTCAGGCAGGATGTAGTGTGTGACTCATGGATGGCGAGTAGTCATCCATTCCCATTGTTCTGGACATTTCTGCATAATCTGGCTTTGACAGATGATACCAGTCATTAGATGTTGCTTAAAGAAGTGACAGGAATCAAGGGTGATACACCTTTTTTTTTTTTTTCCTCTGGAGGGTTGTATGCATTGAACAGTGATAGTAAACAACAGTTGTGATTGTGTGCCACTTTGGTTGTTGTATAGTGTTTATTCTGTAAGAAAATCTTTCTTATTTAGCATCTGCTTGCAGGCACAAGGTACACTTGTGCCTGCAAGTGACAGGTGTGGATGTCAGCAGTAGTCAGAGGGTACACTTGTCCCCATATGTAACTGCATGCTTACCTCTAAATTAACCCACTGGGTGGATTAGATTTGCTCTTTGTCAAAGAAAATGAGAGGGAAACCTATCTTGGACTTTACCTATACAACTCCTCCAGTCAAATGTAGGTATGTGCTCAAATCCCTAAATGCTGGTGTAGATGCAGCTCCAAGGAAGGCTTTCTGCCAGCTCCAGTTAATGGAACTTCACTTGTCACTGTTTCATGCTCACTTTTGACATTTTTGCAAATGTGAACATGTGAGTTGACCCTGGCTGGGTGCCAGGTGCCCA